ATTATGCTGCTGTCAAAGAAAACAAGAGCTGTTTTGGGGGGATTTGAAATTATCCGATGACTTCGACTTTGTTATATGTGTATGTACCTTTTTTACAATAGATTTTGTTGCCTGTTCACTTCCCCTCATATCATGCAAGCACTTTAAAGTTCGAATCCTTTCTGTTAAGAAGCTATCCAAATCTTTCCAAAGTGATATTGTCGATTTGTCTTTTACGTTTTGTTCCCACAACGTTTGCGTAACTTTTAGTAACCGCTGAAGACACAAGAAAACCAAAAATGGGATCCCAATTTTCAGTACGGATGTCATAGATGGACATCGCCGACAAACAAGCATTAATTCCACGTTGTAGGGTTTTTAATCCCGATGTGAATTCATTTTGTAAAATTGGCAAAGCGGAAAGAATTTTAAATTGGTTGTGGACAAGTAACCGCAGATTGTCATAATTATCTTTTAAAACTTTCCACGCAAGACCGAAACTGCGGTGGGTCAACGGAAATCTCGAGATAATTTCTCGAGCCTCTCCACTAGTTTTGCGCGTAAGATGGCAAAGACGCTCTATACCGCTTAAACGCGAATTATTTATGTACACCGTGCTAAAAAGGTCTCTAAACGTGGGCCAAGATTGAAAATCTCCTCCGAAAACATCTATATCACACGGAGGTAGCGCTAAACTACGCATAATGTCATTATTTAGAGGATCAATTAAACTCTGATAAACACTAGGATTCCCAATATTCGACATTGGGGAGCTAGTATTACCTACTTACTGAGAAGTATATGTAGCAGAGTTCGCTATCTCTAAAGCTACATCAGAAGACTGTAATTCTTGAGGAGTATTACAGGGATGCTGCAAAAGTGAGACTACTGAACTACAACGAGAGGAGTTCAGCGATTTTCTCGAACCTCGAAATTATAAAAATTTATTATTTATATCTGTTAAGCATTTCATATATTCCTGGTGCACGACCTCATATTTTTGATCAGCGGACTCGATCATTTCTTTAGTGGAGTCCAAGAAGAGCATACATGTATCGAAGACATCCTGGGCCTTTTTCCAGGAACGAACCAGGGCCAAACGGTACGAACTTCTAATGCACAGAGGTTAATTTCCCCTGGTTTCATTGCCCGAACCTGTTCCACGAACCTGAAGAAGGTATCCGAAGCACGGGTGAAGCTGTCCAATGGAGTATACGACATATTTAAAAGTTTTATTTAAATAAGCAACAAAAATCAAATAGTTCACAAGAATTGTTTTTTTTTTAATTTTGACGAGTTTCTTTGAAGAGAAACTCGAAATGTTACCAACAATTTCCGTAGCCGATCAGAAATATTCAATTTAGTTTTACTAAATGATTCTATTCTTTTTGAGAGAAACCAATTTCTTCTGGAAAAAATAAATATCAAACAATTTTTTCACAAATTCCGACTAAAAGGTGAAAGGATTCCAAATTCGACCTGATTCTTCACGAGAGAAACCAATTTCTTCTAGAAAAGAATTAAAATCGACCAAAATTTCCAAGAATTCTTAAAAGATGTAAGCAAGCGGCAGGATCTAATATGAAGTTTTACCAAAAAAATTAATAAAACTTCCCCAAATGCTAAAATTTTCCAGAATTCTTAAAGAAAATCAACGAAGGTTTTTTTTAATAATGGCACAAAAATTACCAAAATGATCAAAAACTGTTAAATTTCCGGCAAAAAGCAATCAAATTATTGAAATTGCAATAAAATTCCAAAAAAATTAAATGAATCCAATCAGCAGTGACCGAAATGTCAGAAAAAAAAAAAATAAAAAAACAAGCCTTTTACCAAAAATTTAAACGAAAAAATCAAAAAAAAAAAAAATGGCAAAAACAATAATATATTTAAATTTTTGTGTATAAAAAATATTCAAAAATTTTCAAAAATATAAATTATTATTTCAAAAATATTCACTTTGGTATCAAAAAAGTGCATTATTTATACGAACCGACCAATAAATCGACCAATGCGGACTGTAGGTTGCACGATATTTAATTATTTCCAAAATAATTACAATCTGTTCATACACCATTAACATACATATATAAATTTTTTTATCACCTTTGTACCAACGTATTAACTAACCACCATCGATCGAACCGAATGGTGTAGCGCACACGTAACAAAGAAGAAAGAAAAAGATAAATAAAAAACTAGGCGAGCGACGGCTGCCTATCCAAGCATATGGCGTATGTATAAACATCAAACAAACGATCGACCACAAGCGTACATATGTCACACGCTTAAATATGTTAATATAATTATGTATAATGGGTCGGTGGAAAAATAGAAAATATGAACAAGTGATTTTTGGAGTTTGGTGTGTTTTGTTTTTTCCTTTTATTATTCTTTTTGAACGTGAAAGAACACCAGAGTGAATGGATGCTATTGCAATATTTATTGTATTTATTTATAAAAATTATTTAAATTTCATTAAAAAAACGATTGCACCACAATTATTATTAAAAATAATTAATTTTTATTTTATCCACACACTTTTGAAATAAAATTCAGTACGTAATAATTATTTTTAAACACAAAATAATCTTTTTTTCCACTGTCCGTCTGAGATTAATAAACAAGAGAACGATAGAAGGACGACAAACAAATGGAATACGCGACGCGTTGCAAAGCGGCCTTTGTTGTTGCAAAACAGAACAGGTTAACGATCTTTATTTTTTGTTTTTTTATTAATTTCGATAGTTATTATTTTTTTCTTCGCGAGCTCACTATAAAAAAAAAACACTGCACTGACCTACCTTTTGTTGATGATGATTTGAATAGATGAAGACGATTAAATGAAGTTGATGGGGGATAATGATGTTGTTGCTGTTGGGACAAAACCAAATAAAAATCCAATTGGAAAACGAAACCAAGTTGCTCGTATCCGGCTCGAATGGACCAAATAATGTTACCGCCTAAATTGCGTGTAAACAAATAAAACAAATAAAAATAAAACACGAACGTTTTAGATGTAAACTCAAATAATAATTGGTAGGTTTATTGGGATAAAAAAAAAAAATAAGAGGGGTAGGACAGATTACCTGTTGGTTGGTTTAGCAGCGAGAACAAGAGTGTGTTTTAATAATGTCGAAAAGAGGCGTGCGGCAAATTTATACTCGTTAGAATCTGCATTTGACAGTTCAATGTTGTAACAAAAAGGAATATGTAGATTGTAACGAGTATAGCATTGAATACTATTCTATGTTTAGTGGTTGATTTTTCTCAATTGAACATAGGACGATCAATGTATTCTATTAATACTTGAACGAAAACTATTTTTAAATCGAACTTCTTAACTAATGAAATATTATTTCGATTATAATAATTAAGAACAATATTTTGGATGAATATCGGTTCCTAACAATAGATCTAAAGGACGGGATTCAAAAAGATGGACATTTGCCATGCGAAGTCTGATTTTTTTGAACAAAATAAGGAATACTTTATGAGTCTAATTGCCAAATGTAGTATCTTTCCGACGCAAAAAAGTATTACGGGACTTATTACATTTCAAACACCTACGTTTGCTATCGCATTTCTGTATTTCATGACCTTCACGAGGAAACTTTAGACAAAGATGATGCCACAATAACCTACCGTTGGTCTCACCGTGTACTCCAGCAAACAATTGCGTACGTACGACTATGAGTTCCTATGGGTCGAACATATCCCCTTTTTATACCCTCCACCATACTATGGAGGGTATATTAACTTTGTCATTCCGTTTGTAACTCCTCGAAATACTCATGTCAGACCCAACAAAGTATATATATTCTTGATCAGCGTAAAATTCTAAGTCGATTTAGCGATGTCCGTCTGTCTGTCTGTCTGTCCGTCTGTCTGTCTGTCTGTCTGTCTGTCCGTCTGTCTGTCTGTTGTAATCACGCTATCTTTCGAACGAATAGAGATAGAAGGCTAAAATTTTGCACACATGTTTATTTTTCCAGTAGGCAGGTTAAGTTCGTAAATGGGCCATGTAGGTCCTCGTCTTCGTATAGCCCCCATATAAAGGTACCTCCCGATATTCGGTATTTTTATGATTTTAGTGACAGTATTCACCGGAATTGTTTCAAATTTGGTATTTGAAGTTCGAAAGGGATACTACAGCCTAAGACAGAAAATTGTCTGTGCAGGTCCACGTTTTCATATAGCCCCCATATAACGGTACCTCCCGATATTCGGTATTTTGATGATTTTAGCGACATTATTCACCAAAATTGTTTCAAATTTGGTATTTGAAGTTCGTGATGGATACTACAGCCTATGACAGAAAATTTTCTATGCAGGTCTACGTCTTCGTATAGCCCCCATATAACGGTACCTCCCAATATTCGGTATTTTGATGATTTTAGCGACATTATTCACCGGAATTGTTTCAAATTACGAATTTTGAATTCGTAATGGGATCTACAGTCTGTGACAGAAAATTTTCTATGCAGGTCCAGGTCTTCGTTTAAGCCCCATATATCAGTACCTCCCTAAATTCGGTATTTTGACGTGTTTAGGTACAATACCCACCGAAATTGTTTGAGATGTCGAATTTGAACTTCGTAATGGATGCTACAGCCTATGACAAAAAATTGTCTATGCTGGGCCAGGTCTTCGCACAGCTCCGATATAACGGTACCTCCCTATATACGATATTTTGATGATTTTAGCTACATTAATCACCGTTTATTTCAGGTTTTCGAATTTGAATATGGTAATGGCTTATGACAAACAATGCCTATGTAGGTCCACGTCGTATAGACCCCAACAGAACGACAATATTCGGTATTTTTGAAATTTAAATAGAATTTTTAAGGGATTTTATTTTTTAAAAATTTCCAAATTTGTTCCAAATGGTGGAGGGTATTCAAAGTTCGGCCCGGCCGAACTTACTGCTTTTTAACTTGTTATTTATTATAATCGGCAACATATAAAAAATGCAATTAATAATAATTTAATATATGCATAATATACAAATAACTTACTTAACTTTTTCTTCGTCACGCCTGGAGAAAAAAACGCTTCGTTTCAACATTATCATAGGTTCGTCGAATTTAAATTGTGTTACATTACCGATACTATATTTCTGAAGCAATATAGGCCATAACATACGCACAGCATATGGTCGGTGATGAGCTTTAAGTTGAATTTCGAGGAGTGAACTTCCCATCCAGAGTCCAAATATACTCTGAGCTAACAATTTATTTGCTATTCCTAATTCCTCACAACCCACAGTAGCTGCGAGCATTACTTGCGATGGGCATTGTCCGGTTCCTTCGATTTCCATGTGCACTGCAATCCGTGACATTAAGTAAACACATGTTGGTATAACCTAATAATGAAAAGAGATGAAATGAAATTTGACCAAATTATTTGCTAATATAAGCATATTTTGTTGGATTTAAATAACAAATTTAACATAAGGACTGAATAGCTGTAATGCTGTGAGTTGTTCACATTAAATTAATCCAACTAATCCTTCCATCGGCTCATATACTTTAATCTTTACAAGCATCGACATCAAATGATTGATGATGATTTAATATATCTTGTAATGATTAATGATTTAAGTATCTTGTATCACGCAACCAATTTATTTTTTTCTTAGGGTGAATTTAAATGTTATCTAGTTGTATGGGATTTGTTTCGAAACAGCTACTGGGACAATGAACTGTCAAACCAATTTTGAAACGGAAATGGAAAAATTATTCAAGTTTAAATATTTTGAGTCCGAAATACTTATCATAACAACAACCGATTGATGTTACAAAAGAAAACCTATTAAAATTTACTTATTTTTGAAAAGACATTTTAAAAATATTGACATATCGATGTTTCCAAGCCTTTATTCATCTACCAGTCTTCTTCTACCATCATGACACCATTCTCACAAAATTAAAGACGGAACTTAAAAAACTTCCTGTCCCATCAGTGTTGCTTTGCGTTTTTACTATGCACAAGGAGTGTAGGGTGGAAGTACGCAACATTATAAAGTAAGTATAATCCGCAAAAAAAATAATTTTTAGATTTATTATATGCTGTTGGGCTGATAGCGGGACAAACCCCAAAAAGAAAATAAAAACAAGGATATGTAATTTTATGTCTATGTATTTTCAATAGTTTATTCGTAAAGTATTGAGTTGCTAAGAAGCGAGACTTTATCTAACGCGAGCATATATATATATATATATATATATATATATATATATATATATATATATATATATATATATATATATATATATATATATATATATATATATATATATATATATATATATATATATATATATATATATATATATTCCCTATGTAACGGCACCTTCCGATATTCATTATGTTGATGATTTTAGCGACATTGTTCATCGGAATTGTTTCAAATTTGGTATTAGAAACAGAAAATTGTCTATGCAGGTCAATGTTTTGGTATAGCCTCCATATAATGGTTCCTATCTATATTCAGTATTTTGATGATTTCAGCTGCATTATTCACCTTTTAAGATTCTCATTCTTAATGGCTTATGAATATTGAATAAATTATATGCCTATGCAGGTTTACGTCGTCGTATAGACCCTAAAATAACGGCTACATTCGGTGTTTTTAAGATTTTAAAAGAATTTTAACGGATTTTACTTTTCCATTTTGCCAAATTTGTTCCAAATGTTGGAGGGTATTCAAAAGTGGTCCGGCCAAGCTTACAGCTGTTTTACTTGTTTTTATAAAAATGAAAGACGAATACCATAAAAGAAAATCAGGTAAAGGAAGAATATGATCGATTAAAATTAGTTTCGTTACTGGTCAGCGAACCATTCCTTGCTCCGTACGAAGGACGACGACACTAATGTGAATATCGTCGCCAGGATGGACTTGGACAACCCCACCTAACATCCACGAGGTTGGGGCAGTTGCTCCTGACGAAGCATAACGAGATCATTCCTTTGAAAATCGAGTTCAGGATTTTTCCATTTATATCCCTTGTGCAATTCTACTAAATATTCCTCTTTCCAACGAAATCAAAATTGATGAGTTATAGCTTTCAATTTGAGATATCGCTTGAAAACACAAATATGTGGATCGACTACAACATATTCAGGAGACGAAAGTAGAAGGGCGCCAATTAGAAAATTACCTTATGTAAAATACATTAGAATGGGGAATGCAAAACAAACCACAATACTATATAGAAAGGTTGAAGAAAAATCCGAAGTGGCTTCTAAGTGAACTACTTTGGTTAAAAAGCAGACACATAATTAAATTTTGTGATACGACACGCACTACCGGTATACGACTTCATATCAAAGGGTCCTTCGAAATCAACACCAATAGTATGAAAAGATTGAGTAACAATGGTTCCTTCCCGAGGAAAAGCGCCCATTATTTTACTACAAGAACTCGTTTTCTGAAGAACGCGTTTTCTGTCTTACAGCGATTAACACCATACCAAACAACAATTTTGATCCAACGAATCATTAGTGGAAAAAGCTTGAAAAAATTCTTCATGTAAACGAACAAATCGGCAAGAATAGGGTAATTATATTGGTTCATGATGCGTGTATAACAGCGTTGGAGACTTTAATAAACGGTCACTAAGACGGTGGTCTTGGTCTATACAAGGGTTGAGTGAAGAAGTGGACTTTCGAAGGCAATGTATACCTATCTAACATTTATACACCTTAGCAAAATTAGTATTTGGGAAATAATGGATAGGCGAAGCTTAGCAGCTTCATCCAGAGGCTGCCAACGCAGTATGTATATGATGCTGTTAATCTATTTTTCCGCCTTGGGAACAACATATCCCGGAAGGCTTGCTCTGGGTTTTGTTAGTCCTTGCCGGGGTTGATGAAAACCCCGGAACTTGGATTTTGTCGATTTGTCACAACGTTGTCCACCCTAGATTTGTTTCGGTGCGATGTAATGGATGCACTTCAAGACCTGTTCAGGACTAAGTCGTTTGCGAGACTACAGCAGGGATTATATTGCGATTTGCTGCAGCAGCGTAGTCCTCAGCGAGTCCACGTCTTCATCGTCAAAGTCGTCGCCGGAGTATGAACTCAACCGAAGTCTCCCACGCAGCATCTTACGTTGCCGTTACAACTCCGAATTGTGCATCGTTTTGCAATTCAATTGCAACCGACACCGAGATAAACTAGATGAGATAGAAGACATTTTGAGTCGGAGAAATATTAAGATCGCAGCTATGCAGGAATATTACTGAATATAACGTTATTTTGATTGCAACGTTTTGAAGAAGGATCGCACCTGAAGTGGAGGTGGGGGATTGGCGTTCCTGTCACACCATTCGGCTCAGTAGAGACCTATCTCGCTTGAGCTAGTTCCTAGTCAGTGATTTGACAGTGGAAGTCCACCGTTTGGTACAAGAGCATAAGAGGAAAAATGGCTGGACCATCTGAAGTGTTGCAACATCAGTACCAATATGAGTAAGCTGTGAGTAAAGGTTAGGTTACATTGGAGAAATATTTGACGGAAAATGTCAAATATTTCTTTGTCACAATCTGATCCACAAATATCATTTAACGGCAAATACAAAAACAACTGATTTTGGGAAACATAATTATTTACCAGGAAACAAATATTTTACCAGTGTGCCCATGATGTGAACACTTATAACCAATTATTTTCCTCTAAACTGAATGGAAGGCCAAGATGTCTATTCAACATAATTTTCTATATATATATATATATATATATATATATATATATATATATATATATATATATATATATATGTGTATTGTAATACGCATATTTTTGCAAGTGAAATTGGATATTTCGTAAACAATTTTAATATAATTGAAAAGAATACAAACACAACAACACACTCTACCTTGATTTTATTGTACCGTGATTTATATGGCCATACATATACGCGTACATAAAAAATGTCAAAAAAAATCGTTCTGCAAACGCACATACTCCTCAAAAGTTGGTTTTTTGTTTCCCTTCTCCAAAAAAATTATACCGAAACTACATTTTGTTTGTTTGTTTTTCATTCGGGAAAATAAAGTTAGGTTTCTCGACAGATTGATTTAACAATATCACGGGGAAAATATATTTTACGAATGTGAACATGTGTCAAACATGTTTTCCCATAGCAGTATTTCTGACTGTTTAACCATACAAAATTTGTCATATATTTCACTGTAATGTGAACCGAATCGAATCTGTATGAATTTCACATTTGTTCATTCAAATGTGGGAAAACAAATTTGTGTGACAATACCTTAATGTTTAAATCGCTCTCGAAGCCTGTGAAAAGCGATGATAACCGACAATTTGTCGTGCATACGAGAGCGATGGGGCGAAGCGTACAGTACTATGTCGTATCAAATCTCTTCCTCCCGAGGTGCACCTGGTGGTCCAACTACAGAAGCCAAGTAGAAGATTGAACCAGAACAAGCCGTGTCATGTTGGTTGACTTGACCTATCAAAGACATTTGATACGGTCAATCATGCCACATTGCTTGAGGATGTGCAGAGCACTACCCTCCTGGCAAGTTTGAAACGCTGGATAATCAACTATATGTGTGGACGCCTGTCGTACGTAGAATTCCGGAACAAGAAGTCCATAGCCCGTAGATTGAAACAGGGAGTTCCCCAAGATGGAGTTATATCCCGGAACTGTTTAATCTCTTTTTTCTTTAGTTTTGTGAACCGAACTAGAAGGGAAACTATCATATCGCGCAAGCAAGCTAGAGTTTGAATTCATTCAGCAAGTAATATAGGCTTTGCTCTCACAACGCAAAAGTTATTGACTAATTAAGACCAAACTTGGATGCCAGTGATCCATGTCTACATCATAAACAGACTGGCGGAAATGCAACTAATGATTCAACGCTGTAAAATTTTTAAATTAGAACTGGTCTCAGTGTCGATCACTGGAAGATCAAATAGATCAAATGATTGTGAGCCAGCCAACGCAGAACTTTTATTAGTGAGCAGAAACTTTGACACAAAGTATTTAGACGTACGTAACCGAGAGTTGTTAATGAACATGGCTACGGAAAGGTCCGGAATATGGGCCACCATAAGATATCTTAGGTGGCAAACTCCAACTGGAAATAGACACTCTAGAAGTGGCAGATACGACTACTTTGAGGAGAACTCACGAATATAGCTGCTAAAGTTGCAGATTCACACAACAGCGGAACAAAGTCGTGACCAACACCGACGCATTGGAAAGTGCCTCTCTGCTTCCAAACTGAGCGATTATCACTTTTAAAAGGAGTGCAGACGAAAGCGTAAGCTCTCGCCCACAATCCAAGGAAGGTAAATGTGACTCCTAAAAGAGTAGCAGAGAAGATTTCCCCCAT